CTGGTTTTGCGGATTGCTTACCATCAGGAAATCCGTCAGGACATTTGCTGCCAAATTAAGTATTTCATAAAAAAAATATAAACAAACTGCAAGAATACAAGATTTACCTACGTAACGACTGACGACATAGCGGTGAACTGAATCTATCGAAACGACTCCACCCAAGCGAAACTTGTAAAACGGATAGATACGGTGACAGTTATGTTTTTATTTCAGATAGTTTCGTGCGAAGTTGACGCCTTAACCTCCGGGCCACGACGACATTTGCTAATGTTACTTTTCCATAAATATTTATTCAAAGGTGTAACTAAAGGGTCCTCTTTATGGGGAAATACTAAATGGCTTCGTGCGCCCAGCTGGGGCGACAGATCAAATAAGTCTCACTAGTCACTAGTCACTAGTCTCACTAACTGAATAAAAACTATCCTGTGTCTTTCTTTCTGCCTGGACTCCATATATCATTGCTCTTGAACTAAGCGGGTTGAACATTGGCCCAAGTCAAGGTAATAATATCTACAAGTATTTCAACTTCATAGAAACGGCCGAAACGCGAACTATACCTATGCGCCCGATGTCGGGGCGCGCTCGGGACGCAGACAGACGCGGCTGTAGGTACCGCAGTGACGAACGGACGGTGTGCTGTCTTTTATTTAGAAATCAGCTCGAGTACATTATTTAATATGACGAATAGGAAATATTGTGCTGTGTTTGGTTGCATGAATTCGTCAATAACGCATCCAGACATGAATAATAAATGTCGTGGTGGCCCGTTTCGAAACCTGGCAAGTACCAATGTGACTTTTTCTGAGGTATATGTACTTTCTATAAATATTTAGACACCACTGACATACGGTGAAGGTAAACATCGTGAGGAAACCTGGGCTTATAATTTCTAATTATAAGTTTGAAATCGCCAACCCGCATTGAGCAAGCGTGGTGATTAATGCTCTAACCTTCTCCGTATGAGAAGAGGCCTTTGCTCAGCAGTGGGCACTTATAGGCTGATGATGATGATGATGATGGCATCCAGACATAAGTTTTTTTAAATTATAGTTTGAATTTATAAATAAAATGAATAAAGTTATTGAGACGAGTGAAATAGGTAGTTATAGGCGGTTCTGGTTCTGAATGAATCATGATACGTTAGGTACCTACCTACTTACGCTTGTGTTAAAACGGTTCATGTATGTTTTGTTAGTTTGTATAATTCAAAGTAGAGAGTGTGGTAATATTTGTTTATTATCTGTGTTTATGAATAATACTAGAAAAAATAACTTTGACAGTCTCTGTATCATTAGATAGTTTTCGAAATTTTCATAAAGAGTTTTTGCTGCTGCTTTAACAAGGGATATTTACAATCACAAAACTAAATGGAAACAGAAAGTAGACAAAGGCAATTAAAATACTGGAGACGAGCAGCCCTAACGCATGTTTACGTACCGCGCGGCTGTAGGTATTTATTTCTTTCAAGCGGCCGAGTTACAATACTGTATGATATTTTTACTGTGCCCAAGTGAACCTATCTGTGATGTGATGATCAAGGCTCTTAAATCATCAACCCCAAGCGAATGTCGGCGTTCGCACCTATTGTCTTACTATTGTGTCTATAATTAAAGGATTGAAACACACATTGGATTGTTAGTTTTTTATTGAAACATAAAACATAAATATCTTAGTTAGAGAAACCAACTAATATACATTGTAATATAACACAAGAGGCACTGTTTACCCGAATAACTTAAAGCTGCTCAATCAAATACACAATTACGATAAACACTTAAACATCTATGAATATCAGAGTGAGTTATTAAAATAGGAATAAAGACTAACACCGAGTGTTCTGAAAGGCTTGTCAAGGCTAAAATTAACTAATCTCCTGTTAAATCTCTTGTCAAGTCATCTGATTGGTTGTTGATAATTCAGTCAACCAATCAGATGACTTGCCAAGAGATTAAATTGATTTCAACATTGATCGGCCTTTCGGAAACCGGGTGTAATTATGTGGTACAGTCTATCAGTTAAGGTAAATAAGTAAATATAAACAAAATCTTGGCATGTCTTTTTATATAAAAGTTGTCTAAAAATGTTATGTAAAAATGTGTAGGTATACCAAGAAGACATTTTTAGGTAAACAGAAATGCAAAGACTGTTAACATTTCGATAATTACAAAAAAATGGAACATAGTTGTTTTTATTTCAAACAGACAGTCATATTCCCTATTTTTCTATATTTAAACGGTGCTTGCTCACAATTTCACAGAGCTTACAGCTAATTTAAACACATGTGAAAAGTGTGTAAATTACTAATATGTAATAATAACAAAAAAGGTACACCGAAATTGTTATTATTACACAAAAAAAAACGTTATGTACAAAACACATCCACAATAATTAAAAGTTATATCTAGTATTTTTGTCATAGACATTGTGATGGACTCTTAAAATTGAGAGGGCGATAATACGAAAAGAGTAAAAAATTGTAAGGAATGATGATGATAAAAATATGTGATGTAATGACGAGGGAGAATGGAAGAAGACAAACATTATATTTTTATATTTAGATAAGATAGGATGGCAAACGAGCAGATACATCCAGTGGTGGTAAGCCATCGGCACCGCCCAAGGACACCTGCATCACCAGAGAAGTTACAAGAACATTGCCAGTCTTTCGGGGATTAGGCTGACCCCACATTTGGCGTGCGCGATCCTCGGGCGTGCGAGCTGCACGGACGCAGCGCGCGCGTCGTGTGTTACCGCCGTGTGACGTGTGTAAGGCGTGCGCGGCGCTCGCTTTGGCGTTTAACCCCCTTCAGACAAGTCAGTCACAATTTGGCTAGTGCCGTGTTAGCACACGTCGATGCGTTACTGTTCTTTTTCTACAATCACTAACAAAATGGACTCAGACGAGGAAACACTACTGTTAGCTTTGCGGGCGGGATAGCGGGCGGAGGGGTAAGAACGCGACTCGAGCGTCGCGAGCGCGCCGCGCACGCTGCATGCACGTCACGCGGCGGCAACACCCGACGCTTACGCAGCGCACGCGGCGCTCGCGCTACTTGTACGCCCGTGGATCGCGCACGCCAAATGTGGGGACAGCCTAAGGGTTTTAGAGATTGAGGAATTAGAGAGGGGGAAAAGGATTGGGCCACCAGTAATCTTACTCAAACGGCGAAACATAACGCTATGATTGTTTCACGACGGCTTTTTGTGAGGTCGTGGTATCTTTCTGGCCGAATCGAATTCATGCCGAAACATGGCTCTCCCACACTTAACACCTTACTCGCCTTTAACAATTATGGAGATTAAAGCTCATTTCTTGTTTATTTATGAAATAGGAGGCAAGCGAGCGGACGGATCACCTGATGTTAACTGATCAGCGCCGCCCGTGAACACCTACAGCACCAGAGAAGTTACAGGCGCGTTCCTCGTTGCCGTGTCGGAAGAGGCCTTTTCTCAATAGTAACACAATAATAAGCTGTAATGATAATGATGATGACAGCGCCTACTAAAGTAACTGTAACATTGAACCAAATAATCATAAAAAATAAAACAAAACAGAATTCTTTGAACAAAAATAACAAACCAAAATGACTGCATTTTTTTCCAAAAAGGTTGTAACGAAACATTTTTTAAAGAGAGAGAAACATTTTTTTTTGTTTTTAATGAACCAGCATTTTTGAAATTGATGCTTTATTTTCCATTAAATCTATAAAATATTTTAACATTCAGAACTAAGTAAGGCACTTATAGAATATTACATTAATAATACTTAGATAAAAAACGTTATTTTTTTAATACCTACCTATTTTCAGTTTTATGTATAACATTAATTAATTTTGGCTTACACAGGTAATTTAATTACAATTAAATGCATTTTAACAGGTGTTTTAGAGTATTTTAATATCAAAATATACAGTGCAGACTCTTAAAGAGTCGAAAATCGAATAATAGATTGGCTGATCCAGATACCGAATTATATTTAGAGCATTCAGATAGGACATGCAGGATTCATCTAGTTTTTTACCATATAATTTGGACTTGTAAAAATGCTGTTTTATGGCGTAATTGCAAAAATGAAATATTTATTATTTTATTTATTTAATAATGTCGTAGTGGCCCGAACATAACATAACACTATCATTAAAGGAATTAAAACCCAATACAACAGCGCATGCCTATAGCCAATATTTATACAAAACAATACCAATATACATATAAGCTTACTAGATACTCTCGGACGGTTTCACCCGCTGCTCGGCACCATTTGATCGTAGCGTGATGTTTTATAGCCTATAGCACTCGGGAACATTGTAGCTATTTATCAGTAAAAGAATTTTGGCAATGCGACCAGCGGTTCCAAAGATTGCCCCCTACGTACAAACTTACAAATTGTACCTTTATAATATTAGTATAGATTAACATTATCATTGTTCCAACCACCTATTAGATTCACACACGGTTTCCGAAAGGCCGATCAATGTTAAAATCAATTTAATCTCTTGTCAAGTCATCTGATTGGTTGACTGAATTATCAACAACCAATCAGATGACTTGACAAGAGATTTAACAGGAGATTAGTTAATTTTAGCGTTGACAAGCCTTTGCAGAAACCAGGTGACAATCATTGATTAACTAATCATTATACTAATTTACAGACAGGTAAAGCAACACACTTTTCGGAACTCATTCAGCGTACAAGCAAATCCAAACTTCCAAACTTTTTATAATTTTGGAAGTTTTTATAACTTTTTATAATTATAGTAGAAAAGTAACTAACTCTCGAACGTAACTCGAAAGTAACCCTGTCTGTCAGTCTTTTCTTCGCGCCTAAAATACTGGACCTATTTGTGTGAAACTTGGTACAGACATAGTTTGAAACTCCAGAAAGGACAAAGGATAGTTTTTAAACCAAAAATCTGTATGAAGTCACTGTTCCACGCGACGCGAACAAAAGCTAGTAAATCAATATATTCTGACGTCGCATTGAGCGTCCGCAGCGTACGCGTCAGTTCGCGCGTTGTAGGAGGTTGGAGTCGCCATATTTTTTTTTAATTGTTTCATTAACATCATATCATATCAGATATTGACTACATGAGTGCATACGATTCGTACCCTGGATCAGACAATCTGTTATTGGGTACTTTAAAAAAATATGTTTAATATGAATTCTATATTTATATTTCATGACTGCTAAACATATAAATATCATCTACTATTGTTAAATCATCTGCGTTATATACCGACATCCTGTTTTACGATTAGAACCTCTTTTTGTAAGTCTCCTGTGCCTATTTTGCAGTTCGCATTTACTAAAAGACCTTCGAATCTGTAACAAGAAAATAGTATTTAAATAAAATTGTTCATTACAAAAAATCTAGTTGTGTTCCTCACGCAACTATTATAATCAGTCACCGTCAAATATATAGGAACATTCGGGGTGCTAACAAATTAAAACACCAAATTATCGGTACAATTAAACAATCAATGGCATCTAAGCATTCCAAAATTTTAAACTGTAGAACATGTCAATTGATAAAAAAAAGTTTTTATTTTTCAAGCCGGCAAAAGAGCAGACAGTTTACCTGATGGTAAGCAATCAGCGCCGCCCATGGACACCCGCAACAACAGAGGATTTACGAGTGCGTTGCTGACTTTTTGGGGATTAGGGATTTTGAGATTTAAGGATTGGCGAGGGATTGGGGGTGGGGAAGGATTGGGGCTTCGGTAACCTCACTCACACGGCGAAACACAACGCTGTGCTTGTTTCACGTCGGTTTTCTGTGAGGCCGTGGTATTACTCCGGTCGAGCCGATCCATAGCTTTCCCGAATGAATGAAGATTAGACAGGATAGAGTGATTGAAGAACAATGTTTATATAGATAATAATATCCATTAAATAAAATAATGAGAAAATGTAGTATCAGCATTGCATACGTGCCAGGGCGGGGCGGGTCGCTAATTAAAATATGTTTTAAACGATTCTTACCCATTCGCAGTACAAATTGATGACTCTTGCATGACATCCACCTCGCACCGAATGCACTGCTCGCTGCAGTTAGATATTACTGTGTCACTCAGCTCCACCTGTGAGCCCGAGTACATTTGGATGCCCACACCACAGTTCTTTATTGTACAGTTTCTGAATTCCACCTGTGAACGGAGAATGTTAAGATTTTAGTTATCAGATTTAAGTGTAAAAGAGGTATGCTTTTGCATGAATGGGTTGACTCGACCGAAGTGGCAGGCGTGAAATGAAATACCGCTAGCGTTGTTCTCCATCTCCCTTCCTATATAACCAAATTCTCAAAAAATATTGGGGGGTACAACCCTTTATTTTTTATTTGTATACTTCGCGGAGCCAACAGACAAAGTATTTTTATAAAGATATAGTAAGTAATATAAAACTTTAGATATGTTGGAACAGAATCTAAATATAAAAAAGATCTGTAAAGCTGCGAATTTGGAATAGCTAGCGAAAATCAAAGCATATTAAACTATAAAATTACCTGAGCCCCTTTGTGTACAACGATACCGGAGTAGAAGTTATCAAACATGCAGTCTTCAATGAGTATCTTGGCGCCAGACATGGCCACCACACCTTGTGCGAAGTCACTCTGTAAAACAATTTTTTCTTTTAAATTGTAGATGAATGTTAACTTAATAGGGTGAAGAGACTGGATGGAGGTCGGGAAGAACAATATTATGAAAAGTTACTTTAATGTTATACCTCATCAGCCGAGGTTACGGTATCAAGCATAATAATGTTTGTACCGCGGCTTTGGTATAGATTACGAGAAGGAACGGGTTGGTCATTAGTCAGTAAGTCGTCTGACATTCCCTCTCGACGACCCAGGACGAGATGAACACAGTTTTAAACTATGTGGTTGATGATCATTTATATTGTTACTAGGTAACCCGGGAAACGATGTTTTGCCTTATAAATTATTTCGAAAAAAAAAAATGTTAAGCGTGAACAATCCTTATCACATAGGGCCGATTTTGGCAACAATTTTTTTCCTCGGATAACATTTATCTGACTATTGAAAAATCAGCCCTTAGTGATATGAAAAATAGCCAGTATCCGATTCTCAGAATATGCATATAAAATTTGGTAAACATCAGTAAAGGCGTTTCGGAGTAAAGTAACTAACATTGTGACTCGAGAATTTTATATTTAAGATTAAGTTGTTAGGAAATATATTGTTAGAACACTTACCTTTGAACTGCTAGACTGATCCAATATATTACATCTGACGATATGTAGGGTGCCAGATCTCATTACGATCACTGTGTTCACAGACAAGCAGTTCAGAGTCAGTTCGCGGAGTCGACATTCTTCTGACAGCATGAGAAGACAGGAACGCATATCTGATGCTTGGAGAGTCGCGCCTGGGGGAAATGTTATAGCAATGATTAGGTTAAGTGACTTAATAAAAGCAAACGGTTTTAGATATATTTTGATCGAGGTTCGAAGTAGAAAATACGTTTGTTTTACAGATGTTATTATTTATGTATAAAGCACAGCGAACTTATTATTTTCTTTTAAAACCATTAAAAATAACTTTAATATATACACCTTCATTCATAAATTTTCCGACACATTTAACATTTAGTATTTGAGAAATAGATATGCTATAGCTATTTGACATAAAAATAATGACATCCCAACATGCTATTTCATATTGATAACATCAAAAGGTGTAGTCCTTCCATAGCGTATGTTACCAGTCCATAACAACCTACAACCATAGACTTATCCCTTGTTTCTATAATCCGCAATAGCCCTACATGTGCACCCAGGGACAGTCGCCTGTAGGACCATAGCAAATCCAGGCATAGTCACCGTTATGTGTCCCATTTCATTTAGATTAAAATTGTCTAAAGGGCCTCTGCGAAATTGGTCCCTCGTATGCCTCCCAAATGACCGGGACAGTGTGGTCCCATCATTGGTAAAGACTTAATATTGGTAGTTTGACTGCACGGTAGTTGCGGTGGCTGGGCAAGTGGCTGTGGCGTAACGTGTCACGGTTTCATTCCCGCACCCAATAAATCGTTGTGTAATCCACGAATTGTTGGTCTAGGTGTGATGTGTATGTAAAATCATATGCACAAAACAGGAGAAAACGCTAGTGTGGGACGTTTTATAATAAAAAAGAACATAAAAATAATAATAAAATAAAACATACCATTAAAACTAGTAACGTTAATATTGGCTAATGGCATCTCAGGCAACATTAGTTCGTGTCCACACAGCACAAGTTCGTGGGGTTCCAATTGTAGCGCGTCCTCCACCGACGTCAGCACACTTAGACGAAAATCATTGGTCACGTGGGATATTAAGAACTTGGATATCTCACTGAACTCGAATATTGAACCGCCTTGCCATACTGCTACCACCTGGAAATAAGAGAAATGTTTTTGTATTATGACTCTTGTGGGATTTTAAATTATTTAAACCTAATCTTTAATGGCTCAATCATTTAATTGTCAGGCGAGATAAATTTTTTGTAACGCTGTCTCGCAACGTGGCGAGGGATTGATTCTCGTGTGTGGTCCACAAGTTGTTGTTTTGGGTCTGGGTTTTAGTAATATGTATGTGAAATTATATGTTTGTAAATAAAAAAACGGGTTAACGTTTTCTAGAGTGGAGACCATGTCTAGGCAAACGTAGTGACGATATCCGCAGGGTGGCTGGCAGTGGTTGGATGAGAATAGCTGAACATCGAGCTCAAGTGCAATTAAGGTGGCCTGTGTCAAGCAGTGGACGATATCAGGCTGATGATGATGATCAAATGAACTCACGACACAGAAGAAAAGTTTGACAATGTGGGGCAAGTTTTAATCAAAATACAGGCCATTACTTACATTTTTTTTACTTTTATTCCTCTGCCATTTAGACCGTTCCCTCGCCAGATACTGTTCTCGAATCAACGAGTTTTCATATAGCGTCCATTTTGACATCAGCCCGTCTAGTCGCGCGTTCATTTCCGCGCAGAGCGATATGTAGTTCGGTGGTAGAAGAGAATCTAAAAAACAGAAATCTAGAATTAATATGTATATTATGAGTGTATCGTTTTAAGAATGTGAGAGCCATACTTCCGCACGAATAGGCCGGCTCGGCCAGAGTGATACCACAGCCCCGCAAAAACCTGAAGTGAAGCAAAACTTACCTTGTGTTTGGCCTTGTAAGTGAGATTACCCGAGGCCCGAACATCCCCCCTCCTCCCATCCTTAATCCTTAAATCTATACTAATATTAATTTATACTTATAATATTATATTAACTAATATTAATTTTATTAATAGAGGTAAAATTTGTAAGTTTGTATGTAGGGGGTAATCTTTGTAACCGCTGGTTGATTGCCAAAATTCTTTCACTGATAGATAGCTACAATGCTCCCGAGTGCTATAAGCTATAAAATCATCACGCTACGATCAAATGGAGCTGAGCAGCGGGTGAAAGCGCGCGAGAGTAGCTAGTCCCTAATAACTCATAAGAGGCCGGCAACGCAGTTGAATAACTCCTTTGGGATTACGAGTGTTCATTGGCGACGCTTATTGCTTACCATCAGGTAATCAACCTACTCATTTGTCGACTTATGACATAAAAAAATCTGCTTACCATCATCGCTGGCGACATCTCCTTCACAAAGCGAGGAGTCCATCTGCTTCAATTTCTCATGAGCATCAATAGCACTATTCCTTAGCAACGTGATGGAGCGAGCCACGAAGTTGGGTATGGTACCGTTGTGCATATCTGACCAGAGTTGCATTCGTTCCTCAATTGTGTTTGATAGGAGCACTTCTGAGTCATCCCACGGCATCCAAATGTCATTGTAGTAAAATCTGGAAGGTGATAAAAATAAGTAAAAACTTTGTGAGTGTTAAGTTTGATATTGAGTTGACTCGTATTGCTTGTGCTTTCAATGCACGTAAATCATTGTGGTTTTACAAGAGGTGCAATTGCTTTTTACGCACTGATTGTATATTATTAAAGAGAATTTCACATATTAACAAGCCAACATTGGCCCTTTTAATAGGACATCCATTACTCATGATTTTAAAAGCAACTATGAGCACTACAACGTATTTATTAAAAAAATATATTATTAGTAACGTCTGGCTTTTGGCGACCTACGATAGAGCACGCCTACTCATAAGCTACCTAGTCACTCGGGCCTTAAATACACCCAGGTTTTACTCTTTGGGGAACACAGACTACGACAAAGGATGTGATGATTTACCTACCTTAACAAATCAATAAACTCCGCAGTGGCAGCGACATTGATACACTGTTCCCGTTGCTTTATTGTTGGCCAGAGTTCGATCAATGGTACGTCCACTATGTTCTCCGGTAGTGAGACGGTCTCATGTTGCACGCTCAGCACATCCACACAGGCCGACAGGTTCTCAAAGTCCACCGATGTCACAGTAACGTAGGCAATGCAGGGGAATCTTACTTCTGTAAAATAGTAGTTGAGGTTTTATTAGTAAAGTTGGACGAAGCGATGCATCGGCGTCGCCCATGGGCACCTGCAATAACAAAGGAGAGAAACGAGCTTTTGAGGAGGCGGAGTACTAGGTTAGGTTAGCCTAGCCTCATTTATACCGACCTGCGGCCACCGTAGGGCGCAGCCTCATAGTAAAGTCCGTAGAGAGTAGACGGCCGCGCAGTGGGTTCTTTTTTTTTGTGAGGTGAAAATTATCGAATGACTACTCCCGCCCAGGGCCGGGCGGGAGGGAGTGTCAGACTCTTACTGACTAAAAACCCCCCTGTTCCTTCTCCTGCTCTGGGCCGAGGTCGCGGTGCCTCATTGCGCTTACCCCGCAACCCCGGCTGAACATCAGCCCTTTAGGCCGCGCAGTGGGTGACGGGGCTCGCCTGACTATCTAGCGAGCCAATACACGTCGGGGGGTTGCAAAGAATATTTACATGGGGAAACACAACACAAGCGAAGTGTTATGCCAGTTTTCTGTGAGGCTGTCGTGATGAAGCATGGCCATCTGTCTGCTATTTGTTATCATAATCATATTATGTGGTACGAATGCATGCTTGGTCTCTGCTCAACTGGGTATGAGATTTAAAAGTAAGTAAATATTGTGTTAGCTACAATTATTTCTATCATTATATCTATTCTCGGTTCAATCAATATAACTTATGTTTTTTGATGTTATAATACTTATATTACTAACCCAAATATTAATCAATTAAGTTACTAGAATATATTATTTTGTTTTTGATCATCCTACATAGATGCACATGTATTTGCGAATAAATTTAATTTGATTTAGCAATAAACAACTCTCAACTAGTTACTCTACAGTGACCACTCAAGAACCCAACTCAATTGTCATTTAAGAATGCAAATAAAATGTTGTTTTGTGTAAGGTTGTCACCACTTAGTATAGAAAGAATTGACTAACAACCGGTTTCCGAAAGGCCGATCAATTTTAAAATCAATTTAATCTCTTGTCAAGTCATCTAATTGGTTGACTGAATTATCAACAACCAATCAGATGACTTGACAAGAGATTTAACAGGAGATTAGTTCATTTTTCATTATTTCATTTATTTCATAGTTCATTAGACATTGACAAGCCTTTAAGAAACCGGGTGTAAATCAGTCAGGATGTAACAAATCAATAAACATACACTCCAACTATTTATTTGTGTGTTATTCTTCCAGTTTCAAATTAATCTGAAAAGACTGAACTATTAGATGCAATGTGTCGCGGGTTCGATTCCCGCACAGTAAAACTCGTTGTGTGATTAACAAATTGTTGTTCCGAGTCTGGGTATGTGTTTGTGAAATTGTGGGTTTGTAAATGCACCCACGACACGAGAAGATCCCAATGTGATTAAATAAATAATCTAAGTGTAAGAGAGCCAAGCTTCGGCACGAATGGGTCGGCTCGACCGGAGTGATACCACGGCCTCACAGAATACCGGCGTGAAACAACCCACAGTGTTGTGTCTCGCCGTGTGAGTGAGGTTACCGGAGGCCCAATCCCTTCCCTTCCTCCTATCCCTTCCCGATCCTTATATCCGCAACCCCTATCCCCAAAAGGCCGGCAACGACTCGTAACTCCTTTGGTGTCCATGGGCTGCGCCGATTGCTTGCCATCAGGTAATCCATCTGCTCGTTTGCCGACTTATACCATAAAAAAAATACTATAATATTAACAAAAATATATAAAATAGTAAATTATAATACTTTAATATGAAAATTGTCCTAGCTGTTTTATTGATGGGAGAAATTCATCAAATTCTTTCTATGTAGTGCTAAAGCTAATATTAGCTGCAAGCTATAATTTGTACAAATGTGTGTGTACTTCTGCTGATTAATTAAAAAGGTCAAAGCTTTATCTTTAATCTTTTGATTTCTAATTGCTAATTACCTAACAATTAAATTAGGTATTATGAATATTATTCATTAACAATGAAACTGACAACTGAAATTGTCAATGAAAGCTTATACAAAAGTTGGAATGGATACACCTATACACTAAAAGTGAACTGTTTTCAACAATTTTTCACACTAACAAAATTAGATTTCCATAAAACTATTTTCATGCTCTTTCACCCAAAGTTTCCTTAATAAAAGGACTATCAACACAACGAGAATACTTCAATTCAAATCAGTAGTTCTAAAGCACAGGATCTTTAGGTTTTAAAATATTAGTTTACCTAGATGTACAAATAACACTCACCAAACTTTTTACAGAAATCCTTGGACAGTTTCCACAATGCATCCCAACCGACTGGTTCCACCAGTAACTCGGCCTGCATGCTCCATTGTTCCCGAGTTGTGCCACGACCGGAACTGAACACCTTGAGTAACTCTTGTAAAATCTCATTGTCACTTCGGGAAAATGTATATACTGATGGCATCTGAAAGTAGGGAACATGAGGTTTTAAATGAATATGCAAAGTTCAGTATTCATAGGATGGGTAAGCAGAGTTCTTACAGCCCCTCCTAAGACTACCCACTGACCCAGAACTTAATTATTTTAGTTTCAGTTTATTTTTAATCTTATAAACAAGCATGTATATTTGGTTGTGCTTCACCAGACTTAGACTTAGACTTTTCTGCCTATTAATGACACTTTTGTTTTATTGCCAAAGGTTGGTTATGATACAATTTTTGTAGTTTTACTGTTACTTTAAGTGATATCAATACTTGCGACTGGGATAGTGTTATGAAAAAAGGCAATTCTAATAAGAAAACCTGATGTTTTATTGATAAACGGTCTTAATGATCCTAATGTTCTTTAAAAAGAAATAGATAAGTATAATATAATAGAATCAACACATTACAACAAGCAAAAGCAAATCTCAAAAAGTTTCGACATCGAAAGTTTCGTTTTTGCTTGTTAACACAAATGAAAAGTAAATTATATAACTTTATAACAAACCATGCGATAAATGTATAGAAAGAGCAAGATATTTGGGCGTAAAACTTAGAATTAACGTTAAACACATTTTCAAAATAACTGATGAAATGACTCATACACAACAATATATCATTTATACAAAAGTTTTACAACAATTCAGTAATAAATAAACTTATTTACCTTTGACCAAGATATACTGCAACTTTTCAATGCTTTGAATGTAATATGTTGTTATTATTTTATTTTATTTCTAGATTTGCGACTTCGTTCTAACCGCTATACAAAAAAGTTTTGAAATTTTAAACTGATTTGACTTTGACATTTTGACGTTAATTTGTTTTAAGTCGAACTAAAAACTCCGTTCTACGCATAAATTGTAGTTGTGCAAAGCAACTTTTAAATTTATTTAAGAAATAGTTCAATAATATTTTGTTTGCTTGTACCAAATTCTATTTTTTTAAAAGTTGAACGTGTTTTTTTAATACAAAAAAAAAAAAAAAAATAATAACCGATTATTGCCTAACGAAGCTTATAATCTTCGTTGAATGGAACGTTGCTCAAACGTTCCAGAAATTTACAGACAATATTAATAGCATAAAACTCAGTCAATCAGTCACTGTAAAACTCGATAAAAATTGTTTTGAAACTTCGATTAATTCATTTTTTTGTTAACAAAGAAAATGTATTAAAATATATTCATCAATTATTATCAACAAAGTTTAATTTTTTGTTTAACATTTATATTCTAGTTAGTATTTGATTTTATGAAATTGTTTTATGCCTTGGTAGTAAGTAAATCATCGCTTCTAAGAGCTTTTTTTGTCTCAAGGGATCTGTTGCGTGCAAGCGCAATGAGGCACCGTAGCCACAGGCCGCAGGAACAGGTACGGGGATGTTTTAAACCAGAAAGAGTCTGACACTCTCTCTCGCCTTACCCTGGGCGGGAGAAGTCATTTGATGATTTCCCCTGACAAAAAAAGGGGATCTCACGCTTGACTTGGACGAGTATGTATCTACTGCCAGTAACTTTAACTACAACGTGCATCCGTTCAAGATTTTTGTGAATCACAACCAATGAACGGAAGTCAGTTACAATTTGTTTTTTGATCTGATATATCAGTATCTGAAATGTGGTGGTGGCCCAGAGGTTAATGTGCCCGCTTCTCATGCATAAGGGTGTGGGTTCGAAACCTGGCAAGTACCAATGTGACTTTTTCCTAGTTATATGTACTTTATATGATTATTTAAACACCACTGACAAACGGTGAAGATAAAGATCGTGAGGAAACCTGGACTTATAATTTCTAATTATAAGTTTGAAATCGCCAACCCGCATTGAGCAAGCGTGGTGATTAATGCTCAAACCTTCTCCGTGTAAGAAGAGGCCTTTGCTCAGCAGTGGGCACTGATATGCTGATGATGATGATGAGACCAGAACCTGAGACATGTCACCGATTAATAAAATAGTTTTTGCTAAAAAAAATAACGCCATTGCTCGTAGGTACCTTAGATATGCCTAATCCGACAATTCGGCAGGATACTGATAAGGTAATAAACTCGAGAAGAGTATTTATGAGACGGTCTCCGGGAGTGGCGTCATAATTATCGAAGGTTCGACAGGCAAACGTGGCCCCTAATAGATGCTCTAGTTGTGGTGCTATAGGTTTTATTTCTGGCAGCACGTTGTAAATTTTCCGGTAGCTGCCTACATACTCATTTTGGATACCATCCCCAATTGGGTATTCTTAAATATCCGAAACCCCTAATCCTCAAAAGGTCGGCGAGGCACTCATAACTCCTTTGGTGTTGCGAGTATCCATAGGCTGCGCCGATTGCTTCATCATCATCATCAGCCGGAAGACGTCAACTCCTGAACAAAGGCTTTCCTCTTAGTCGACAAGTTGCCACCTACCTACTTACCATCAGGTAATCTGTAAGCTCGTTTAACGACCCGTCTCATAAAAAACGTAGAAGTAGGTATTTGATTGATTGAATTAGTTTCGATATTTAGGCATTTTTGATGATATTTACAGTAGCAGGTGGAATCGCGAACGCTGCTTAAAGTTGAACTGTGCCCTAGATTAAATAACGAGCAATAAACCAATGGACACAACGCAGTGACTTACACGTTTAGGTCATGGCTAATGACTCGATCCATACACGGTCAGTTTTATTATACCTAACGATGTTTGAGGAATTTTAAAAGCTATTCTATGAATTATACATTTGTAGAAACCATTTGAAAGAAATAAACACGTGTCTTCCCAATTACATGCATGTACCTAATAGCGATCAGAGATAGTAGCGTCTACCAATTTACCGTAACTGTTCGGCGGGTTATTTTGATTAGTTTCGAGCCATGATAGGGACTCATATTCTTAAGCAGCTTACGAGTAGCCACGTCCACCGCGTCATGTATCCTAAAAGTATCGTAATATATGAAATCCGTTTTTATGTCGCTCGACACTGGATTATAACGATAAGTATCGAACTCGCGACACGTTGCACGACAGCCGGTAACCCAGCGACTGATTCAATTATGCAGTTCTTCTAAAGGTTCATAAGTAATAAGATATTGGATGTCAAGACTAGAAAATAATGTTGTTTATGGCTTTAACAACTTACTGCATTTTTTTTACTATAATACATCTTTGCCAAATTTCAATCAAATCCGTTCAGTAGTTTTTACTTTGCTAACTGTCCGTTTTATATCTACCGATATAAGTAATATTACCTTCTTTGAGGAGGAAACCTACCCCCCTTCCCTCGCCCTGGGTTGTACGAGAGTGGGATAATATCCTGCGACCGAAGAGGTCGGTACAAAAACTGTAACTTTTCCTTTTAAAAAAAACGTTACGTGGATCTCGCAATGTTGTTCCATGCGTGGATCGAACCCGCGACACGTTGCACAGCAGCCAGTTGCTCAGCTGCTGGTGCCCACAGAAGCTTCGCGGAGATATCATCAAATGGTTTTTGGCAAACTTTTACTGACTAATAACCACCTCATCCTTTCCCTGATCTAGGCTGGAGCCGCAGTACCTACTTACTGGCTGGTTTAAGTTTGAGAATTTGTAAGATTTCGTTTTTAAGGTTATATAGATAAAAAGATAGATACTCTTTTTATAACATGAAACATGCAAATTGTCACTTCAGTGTGCATTCGCACCACAGATGTACTAAAAACTAGTCAGAGAACTCGCACACTGACGAAGCGGTTTTGTCAGCGATAATTCTATGGCGATTCGTGCAAGCGCAGGCGTGCACGGCAAAGAGTCCCGCCACCCTTGGCCGTGGAGCGGAATGTTCTTGACTTAGCTCGCATTTTTTTGTGCTTTAGCGGTGTATTGGAAGTACGTATTTACACCTATGATAGCAGGTTATGAGTCGTTTATTATCCTAACGATTTGGAAATTACCTTTCTATGTAGGTTTTTTTATTGTAGGTACATAGGTACTAAAAACTTTGCCCCACACTAGAATTTTCTCTTGAGTCGTGGATGCGTTTACAAACATACTCCTCATACCTAGACCTGGAACAACAAGTGGATCACACAGAGTTGTTCCGTGCGAGAATCGAAACCGTGACACGTTGCGCGGCAGCCAGTTGCTCAGCCCCCGCGCCAGCCGTGCAGCCAAATGAAGTAGGTAACTACATAGATACTTTTAAGGTGGGAAAATCATCCAATGACTTCTCCCGCCTTAGGTCAGACCTTTACTGACTAAAAACCTCACCGTTCGTTCTCCTATCCCTTATTGACCCCAGCTGGAAGTCAGCCCTAGTTGGCTCCATCTGTGGTGATCTGATGATTCTTAGAAGTCCATAGAAAGTTTCGAACTCGCACATGATTATTTTTTTAAACTGTCGCAATAACCTCAAATCTTGAAACCACAAACACTTTTTTTATATTTTGATGTGTTCACGGTAATTCTTTACGTAATACAGTTAATGTGTTTACAAGAGTTGATTTTTATCAAAATATACACTAGTTTCTAGTCAGCGTGCGCGCTGTAGAACGTGAGTAAAATTATTATTGGCGGGAAGTTTAAATAAGTATGGCGACGTGACTGCGGTCATTTTCGAGGTTTTGTCATAAAATACACATGTAATACAAAGTAGATGTTTTAAAGAAATCTCTGAATGCTTGAATACCAACATAACTTACAAAAAAGGCCTCATAATTGCCTGCACGATCTAGATTGCACGGTTGGTGCGGTGGCTGGGCAGGCTGCCGTGCAACGTGTCGCGGGTTCGATTCCCGCACGGAACAGCACTTTGTGTGATCCACAAATTGTTGTTTCGGGTCTGGGTGTCATGTTTGTAACCGCACCCCACAACACAGGAGAAAATCCTAAAGTGGGGCAACGATTTTATTTAAAAAAAAAAAACGAAACCTGTCAGTTAACAATGTGCATTTTTTCCGAGTTAAGAATTTACTTTGGTAAAGTGAAAATATCGTAACGAAAACTCGACTCCTAATTTCTAATTATAAGTTAGAAATTTCCAATCTGTTTAACACTCATTCCTCCTCCGCACGAGAACAGTCCAGCAGTAGCCATTTATAATCTGACGATATGCTGTTACGTAAGCTAGGCCAATGGCTTGGCACGGATAGGCCTACGGATCAGAGTGATACCACAACATCATACAAAACCGACGTGAAATAACGATTGCATTTTATATCCCCATGTGAGACCCGATCCTTCTCTTAACCTTATCCTCCTTAAATCCTCAATGTTGTAGGTAACATTTTCAAGATCGCTGCAATAAATGGCCACGTACATCATTATCCGCCCAAAAACAAAGGTCTTCCTTGCTTTGAGGATCGTAGTTAAGTCAACCTAAAGTTATGGGATGCTGTTCTTCTGTGCGTGATTCAATGTTTTTAAATATAGGTTGGTTACCTATCGGGACTCTGACTGTTCTTGACTATATCTTGATAAAATGAGAATTCTATGTAGGTATCTTCATCAGACGGTACCTACAATGGCAGGAAAATCTGCTACTGATGATCTGATTGTGTAATTCATAATTTGTAGTAATACGAGTCTTAGTTTTTAAAGAGGGATAATCGTCTCATCGCATCACTCGCCCCAAACAGAGGGAGGGTCAGTCAGAATCTTACTAATTCGTAAAATGCCCTAGTTTTTTAAATGTTTTGTTCAGTTTATAAAAAGGAAGAAACAAGAACAAGACTTATTGATGCCACCCTGGTAGGTACATTTACACCACTAATTATTTTTTATTCCTCAACCAAATCTTTTCAAAAAGTTTCTAAGAACATAATATCGC